AGTCACACGCGCGAGCGGCCAAGAACTAAGCGATCGTGCGCGGTGGAGTCTGGTGAAGAGGCGCAGGAAACTCTCTCTTCTTACGGCTTCGCCGCACGCGCTTGTGCTCCAACGTGAGCCTGCTTGCAAGCTACGAAAACCATAGCTAGGATTAATTTAATTTTTATATTGTTAATATAATTCGACTGATACCTAAGTATACTGATTGCAGTTGCCGCTTCCCTTAATAACTTCACATATCTCAGCATCCTGCAGCTTCTTGTCATCTTGCCAAAGGGCCGCAGAACTCCAATCAAAACCAAAACAATGGACAAAATTCAAAGCCGCAAGGAATTATAGAGCGTTTTCACTCACGTGACCAGCAGCCATGCAAATTTATTGGAACAAAAGAAGTGTTTACGTAAGAAAAGAGTTCAACTCTCACAGGATTGGTTTGGTACACCAACTTGGCCGCTGTTTCATTGTCTTTGAACACCAATATGGCTGCCGTGACGTGATGTGAAAACGCTCTATGAACACCCCAGATAGACCCAGATAGTCATTAGGGAATTTAAGAAAACCACGATGGCAACGGCAGCGGGAACGTCGCTAAACAAAAGATTTTATGAAGAGAACAATGGATGTGCACGTGCGTTATAATTCTTGGTACATTTCTTTGCCGTCCTCTGCAAAACAGCAACGTGAAATGACCAAATTCTGCGTTGCCAGTGGAAAACGTAAAGCACAACGGCTAATTTTTAAAAATTATGTTTTAAATTTATCACTGTGTTTTAAATTTAGTTTCGTGATCGTTTTGACAGTGAAAATGTAAATGACTTTAGTAAATGACTTTAGTGTTCTGCGAGATTCGTAGGTAAAATGTAAATTCATTTTTTAATCCACTTTGTCCTGGGCGTCGCATCGTGGTCACTTAAACTTCCTGATATAATTAGCAGCAGTAGTGGTACTTCCGCCTGACAGGGACTAATTTTAAGTCCAAATGCATTCACTGCGGACCGCGAAATGTAAAATGTGAATGCTTGCAGCGCGCTAGCGCGTTAACCATTTAGTAGGCTAAGTACTAGTACTTTTACGGTTTCATTGATACTGAACTTATAATACTCAATTTTTAGCCAAAACTTGATAAAATTTTTTGATAGTTAGTCAACAATAGGCAGAAACAATAAATAGGCTCAGCAACACATCACGGTCTTTGCTTTTCTTTTTTTACTTGGGAGAAACTGGACATGAGAAAAGGTGTGATGGGGCTCAAGTGAATTCGTTGAAAATAGCGTTTTGACTGATATTTCCGTGTTTGGTATTTTATCGTGTGCTGTTCTTCAATGAGCCCCCCCCGTTATTTTGGGTAAAAAAGAAAAAAATCACAGAAGGAAGAAAAGCCCCCACCCCCCCTCCAGCTCAAGGTCTGGATCCGCCACTGCGCAGAGACCGTGGAGAACCCGACGGTACAAGAGTCACGATGAGAATTCAAAAGCTGCTCGCACTCAGCTCGTGAATGTCGGTGCTTCACTCTTCTTGTTTGCTGCCCTGCTAGTATCCAATCATTTTTCCCTTTGCCAAATCGAGAGGAAAAGGTCAGGTAAAGACGTGCCACAGCCCATAGTTGGTAATACTAACTATGCACAGCCGTAGCCAAAGCCATGAGCACATGCGCCGTTTGGACGAATTGGAGGCCTGGGCCCAGGTATCAAATCACGCGCCAAATTTCTGATTCCTCCAGAGTGGCTAATGGCGATTCCGCCACGGGCACAATTTTAACACGGGATGAAAATGTCGTCAAATCGTGTAAGTCAAGCGAGTTTAATCCTAGACGATGGTACCGTGTACAAAGGAAAGCTGTTTGGAGCTTCCGAATGTGTGGCTGGTGAAGTGGGTAAGTTTATGAAGCTGTTTTTGGGGCTGTTCATTTGTCGAAAGTGAGCGAGCGAGCGAAGCATGGTTTGTACACCGCACGAACATGGTCCTTCTGTTTCGAAATACCAATACGATACAGATAATTCGCATAAATAGCTATTAGGAAATAAATTTTGTTCATTTTACAAAGCGTTTGGTTTGTTTCCCAAAAAAAAAGGGAAGAAGAAGGAGAAGTTCACCTCCATCAATTTATCGCTCAGCGCGTCACGTAATAAATCGAAGAGCGAGATTTCATGAAGAGAAATGCAATTCACTGAAAACGTTTCAGTTAAACGTTTTATGTTCAAACATATCGAAGAAAATCACAAATCTAAGTTAAAGAGATCGACTATGACTTGAGTTTTGGTGAAGAATTACAGGAAGGTTTACGAAGTTGATAGCCAAACTGTGCGAACAAACGAGCACGTGGACTGTTGAATATCCGAGATCTTCACACACGTTCATGGAACGTGTTAAGTTACCGGATGTAGAACGGGCAGTGCGGCTACCGGAAGTTGTTTTTGTTCCAAGCACGAACAAATTTCTTGATAAGTTTTCTAGTGCACCTCGAGAAGATAAAAACCTGACACAGTGAAGGATGAAAGTTTACCCAAGTTCATTTTGGCATTCAAATTTAGCAGGGTCAGAAAAAAACAAAACAACATCAACAACAACAACAACAACAACAACAACAACAACAACAACAACAACAACAACAACAAAAAACTAATAACTAAATTAAAAAAACGAAAGAAAGAAAAAGCAAAACAAAGAAACTGCAATGTATGGTTTACTACACAGCACACTGTTAAGTATTGATACTAGTGTAGTGAAGCTGAATTCTATTTTTAATTCAGGGAACTTAGGAATGTCACTGCTCAAGTCTTATGGGCCAGCATATACAGTTCGCATGTATTTCTGAACTATTGTTTTAACCAGTGACATGCTCTGAATAGATCCTTGTTGTTAGTGTTTCAGACAGGTATGGTTGGATATCCAGAGTCCCTCACAGATCCATCTTACAGATCTCAAATTCTCACACTCACATACCCCCTGATTGGAAACTATGGAGTGCCAGAGGGAAAGAAAGATTCTTATGGCTTAACCACAGAGCTTGAGTCGGACAAAATTTGGGCATCAGCATTGATTGTGGGGGATTATGTTGAAGAGTACAGTCACTGGAATGCAAACATATCTCTTTCACAATGGCTAAAACAAGAGGGAATACCAGGAATAAGTGGTAAGTGGTCATTTTAGCATTTTATGTGCAGTGAAAATAGCAACCCACAGATGTTGCTATTGTGCATATCTTGCTAACTGTTTAAACTTCCTTGGTGAGTATCAGGTACAATATGTGGTGTTTTACATGTAGCTGGCTGGGACAATGTCCGGTGATTACTGTGAGAGGTATCCAGCTAATGGCCTTGGCAGGGCTTGAACCCAGACTGTTTCATCCAGAGTCCAGTAGGTTTTCATGTATCATGAGGCCACATTGCTTCTCATAAACTAAGTATAGGAGGTGTCTACAAGTAGCAGTTTGATTGTCAGGGGCATGGGGTACATTACCCATGGAGTACGTACTGAAGAGAAATTAAATTAAAGTGCCAAAGGCTGGTGAGGTTTGGAGGCATACCCCCAATAAATGTTTATGTTTAGGAGCTTGGAAAAGCCATTAATTTCCCACGTTTTTCCCAGGGAACAGTTTCATTAATCAAAATATGGAAAAACATTGAGTGTTTGGTAACTTAATATGTTCCTTATGTGTCAACCTTTGGTATAATTGAATATAATTAGGTTTACTAGGAGAGATAAGTGACTGTCAAATCAGCCAATTTCATTATAAAGGACTCTTTTTGCCAGTAGTAAACATTTTTTTGTGTGGATTTCCAGAGGTATGCATGTGCATATGTGTGTGTATGTGCATATATGCATACACGGTTGTTTTACCTCTGACTGTGCTATAAATATACATATCCTGTTATCCTGTAAAAAGACCTCCCTTTCGATTTATTCGTCACAGCAATGTACATGTACTGTAATTAGCAGAAATAAGATGTCTAAGGTTCTTAATACTTTGTATTTAGGTATTGATACAAGAGCACTGACAAAGAAGATCAGGGAAAAAGGAACCATGTTAGGGAAAGTTGTGATTGAAGGTGTTCAGCCAGAGTCTGTTCCATTTGATGATCCCAATGTGAGAAACCTGGTGGCAGAGGTTTCATCAAAGGTGTGTGTTTGCTTTTCATGAGAAGCCTACTATATTATGTTGTGGTATAAATTGTTTTTGATTTTTAGTTTTTTCAAANTCTACAAGTAGCAGTTTGATTGTCAGGGGCATGGGGTACATTACCCATGGAGTACGTACTGAAGAGAAATTAAATTAAAGTGCCAAAGGCTGGTGAGGTTTGGAGGCATACCCCCAATAATGTTTATGTTTAGGAGCTTGGAAAAGCCATTAATTTCCCACGTTTTTCCCAGGGAACAATGCCCAGTGATTACTGTGAGAGGTGTCCAGGACTCTTTTTGCCAGTAGTAAACATTTTTTTTTGTGGATTTCCAGAGGTATGCATGTGCATATGTGTGTGTATTTGCATATGTGCATACACGGTTGTTTTACCTCTGACTGTGCCATAAATGTACATATCCTGTTATCCTGTAAAAAGACCTCCCTTTTGATTTATTGGTCACAGCAATGTACATGTAACTAGCAGAAATAAGATGTCTAAGGTTCTTAATACTTTGCATTTAGGTATTGATACAAGAGCACTGACAAAGAAGATCAGGGAAAAAGGAACCATGTTAGGGAAAGTTGTGATTGAAGGTGTTCAGCCAGAGTCTGTTCCATTTGATGATCCCAATGTGAGAAACCTGGTGGCAGAGGTTTCATCAAAGGTGTGTGTTTGCTTTTCATGAGAAGCCTACTATATTATGTTGTGGTATAAATTGTTTTTGATTTTTAGTTTTTTCAAAGGAGTTTGATTTTATTTTCCCAGTTTCATTAAATTCAACCAAAACATATATAAAAAATCGTAAAATGACAGAAAACTGAAGTTGAACCTCTAAAACTGTGACAGTTGAAATAAAAATTAACATTTTGAAGGAAATTGGATTATTGGTAGACCTTTTACTGTGACCACAGAGGGGACAGCAACCTCAGTAAGCAGCAGTGAAGAGGTCAGTGTCACCATGGGAACCAGCTACAAGTGAACCAGCTACCAGTGCCTGCCTGAACATGACCTTAACATTTTGTTGCGTCTGAATTTATTTGCAGTCGCCAGTGGTATATAATCCCAGTGGTGAGTTCAAGATCATTGCNACCTTCAGGGGTACCTTCCAGTCGGTAATTCCATGGCAATCAACTTTTGTGCCAGAAGAAGCTAGAGCAGGCATCGACGAAACATTCGCTTGCGATTTGTGCTTGCATTTAAATGTGGGAAAATGAAGCACCTAGTCAATCACTTAAAAGATGAAAACAATAAAAAAAAGCGAAGATTTCTTTGCAGATGAGATCAGTTACCGCAAAAATTGTTACTGCTCAACTCAAAGGTTGACACATTTTAATTGGCATATCTTTGTTTGTGGTTCATTGACTTGTTTTAAGAATTTACGTTTTTGTGGATAACTCGTTCACTTTTTAAGTTTTTGAAATAATTTTTTTTGGAAAACTCAGATAAAGTATAGTCTTGAATTTGGTGTAGAAAATAATTTTGGACAAAATAGGCCCTTTAAGGTCTACAGTAACCTTAAGTAGTTTTTCAGACAAACATAATTCAGACTAAATGGGGCTCATGATCTTTCACGACACCTGCCACTGCAAAATGCATAAATTAACACATAGAAATAGTGGTGCTGTTATGGTGTGTTTACAATTCGGCGTGAAATTAAGACGATGCATTGTGTGTGATAAAATTATTTCTCAGAAGTGGAGTGAAAAGGAACCTGATAACAAAGCTTTTTTGCATAGTATTGTGTGGCAGTATAATAAAATATGGTGTTCCATATTCAGCCACAAATTTCCAGTTAGAACAGTTTTTATTGTAGAAGAAATGCCCGGTAAGAGTGTTTGACCAGGCTAAGCTTTCACCTGTGAAAACCTCAAATTTACTGGACAATTGTCTGATGACCAACTGTAATTCGCAGGCTTGTCTGTACTCAAGTTCTGCAGGAGGGAGAGATCTTTCCAGTGACTCCCAGATCTGAGTGGTCGGCTCAATGGAGCCTGAAGTATGTGTGAAAATGCTCATAAATTTGAGTGAAAATCTTGCAGCAAAATTTCCTGCGACTGCACTTAGGTACTCCATGGTAAAAATTGCCCGTCTTGATGCTTTCTCAGAAATCTTTGAACTGGAAGCAAGTCCAGTAGAAGATCGATCGCTGCAGCGAGAAGATAAGAACAGGCGAAAGAGGAAAGGCAAAAACACAAAATTAAAAAACCGAAAAGCCTGAAGACATAGGTCTCCAAATTTTGATTTCTGTGCATGCCGTAAAACGTGATGCTAGTGGAAAGAAAGGCATGCTGTCATGTTGCAAATGCCTTTCTGAGTAGATTGGAGCTACCGTATTTACCCGTGTATTAGTCGATCCCGTGTATAAGTCGACCCCCAATTTTTGAGGCCAAAAACNACTTGAACTTCAGTGGTTTCATTAAGAGCTGGGTATGGAGCATATTGACTGGCTGAGAGGATGATTTTGCCCACATGGTTTGACCATCTGGAGGTAAGTTTTTCCTATAAAGAAGTTCACTTCAAAAAGTTGTGCCCGCCTGTGAAAACCAGCTGCCACCCTGATGAAAATGTTAATGAAACCCTTGCAACCTAGACTACTAGATCTAGAGTCCATTACACTTACTATGAGGCTAGAGTGTCTAAACTCTGATAAAAAAAATAAATAAACACTTTACATCTGTTATTTTGTTTATGTGTCAATGTTGTTTCATTTTTGTAGATATGGAAACAGAGGCCACAATATTCCATGCATCCATCATGGAACAAATCGCTGTTTCATCACAACACAGAACCATGGCTTTGCCATTGACACAAACTCGCTGCCATCTGATTGGTCGATTCTATTCACAAATGCCAATGACCAGACAAATGAAGGCATCATACACGACAAAAAGCCGTTCTACAGCGTTCAGTTTCACCCAGAACACATGGCTGGACCTCAGGACTTAGAAATGTTATTCGATATCTTTTTGTCAACAGTGAGACAACACAAACAAAATGTAGAACCCCTGATGTCAGTCAAGGAACAGATTCAGCAAGCAATTACGTTCAAGCCGTTAGTGCCTCCAGTTGAAAAGAAACCCAAGAAAGTTATGATTTTAGGTTCTGGAGGTTTGTCCATCGGCCAGGCAGGGGAGTTTGATTATTCTGGGTCACAGGTGAGAAACTACATACACAAGTCATGGTGATGCATATTATTTGATTTTTAGTTTCTGATTTTGAGAGCAGTAAAATAATGTCTGACAATAAAATGAAGGTGATTGATTTTAGAGCAATGTTGATAAACTTAATACAGCTTGAAGCAGGGATAGGATTGTCTCTCCCATTCCTAAAATAAATTACAGCCCTGTATACAGAAAGTATGGTAATGGTATTCAGAGAGAACTCAACAGTGGAAGAGTTCATAATGAAACTTCTGTATGTAAAAATAGTTTTTATGAATTCAGGAAGTATTAAAATGATTGGAGTCATGCAATTTGGGGAGACTTTTACCACAGACATTGGCAAGCTTTTGCTGGACTGTGTCTTACCGTATTTACCCGTGTATTAGTCGATCCCGTGTATAAGTCGACCCCCAATTTTTGAGGCCAAAAACTAGATTTTCTTAATTTCCAGGTAAGAATTTCTTGGAAAACTTATCTTGTTTTTCTTAAAATTATCTCTCAGCTACCACAGATATGTAAACAAATCACAGCATGTTTCAATGCGCAGTTTTNGAAATGTGATTGGTCATTTTGAATGCTTTGGTTTTACGAACCTAGCTTAAATGCTGAGCACTCTTAATCATTATAATATTACATTGGATGTTTCAGAATGTGATGGCGTTTTTGTGAGCAATGGTCCTGGAGATCCCACATTCACGACTGAGAGTATAAAGAACATCAGGAAGTTTATTGAACATGCCAGTCCCAAACCGCTCTTTGGAATTTGCTTTGGACATCAGCTTCTGGCCTTGGCTGCTGGATGTAGCAGCTTTAAAATGAAGTAAGTACTTGACTGGAACAAAAAAACAATATATTTTGTACATATAGAGTAAAATGTAAACTAAGCCTTTTTGAAGCTTTAGTTTGGTATCCCTAGCATAAAGCAGCTACTCTGTAGGAGTACTTTTGCTCCCCCCCCTCCCACCTCCGATGGGATACTAGTCCATCGCGGGTTACTTCAGGACATTCTGTCAGGTTGCTCCAACAGTTTGTGTGTACCCATTTTTACTCCTTGAAAGAGGCACTGTGAGAGTAAAGAACGTACCCAAGAACACAATAACTCATGCCCAACACTTGAACNCATTCTGTCAGGTTGCTCCAACAGTTTGTCCGTACTCATTTATACTCCTTGAAAGAGGCACTGTGAGAGTAAAGAACGTACCCAAGAACACAATAACTCATGCCCAACACTTGAACCTCGGGGGTTTCATTAAGAGCCGGGTACCGGGCATATTGACCGGCTGAGAGGATGATTTTGCCCACATGGTTTGACCATCTGGAGGTAAGTTTTTCTTATAAAGAAGTTCAGTTCAAAAAGTTGTGCCTGCCTGTGAAAACCAGCTGCCACCCTGATGAAAATGTTAATGAAACCCTTGGAACCTAGACTACTTGATCTGGAGTCCATTACACTTACTATAAGGCCAGAAGGAAATAAACACTTTACATCTGTTATTTTGTTTACATGTCAATTTTGTTTCATATTTGTAGATATGGAAACAGAGGCCACAATATTCCATGCATCCATCATGGAACAAATCGTTGTTTCATCACAACACAGAACCATGGCTTTGCGATCGACACAAACTCGCTACCATCTGATTGGTCGATTCTATTCACAAATGCCAACGACCAGACAAACGAAGGCATCATACACAACAGCAAGCCATTCTACAGCGTTCAGTTTCATCCAGAACACATGGCTGGACCACAGGACTTAGAAATGTTATTTGATATCTTTTTGTCAACAGTGAGACAACACAAACAAAATGTGGAACCCCTGATGTCAGTCAAGGAACAGATTCAGCAAGCAATTACGTTCAAGCCACTAGTGCCTCCAATTGAAAAGAAACCCAAGAAAGTCATGATTTTAGGTTCTGGAGGTTTGTCCATCGGCCAGGCAGGGGAGTTTGATTATTCTGGGTCACAGGTGAGAAACTACATACACAAGTCATGGTGATGCATATTATTTGATTTTTTGTTTCTGATTTTGAGAGCAGTAAAATAATGTCTGACAATAAAATGAAGGTGATTGATTTTAGAGCAATGTTGATAAAGTTTATACAGCTTGAAGCAGGGATAGGATTGTCTCTCCCATTCCTAAAAGAAATTACAGAAAATTGAGAAAATTAAGAAAATTAAGAAAGTTAAGAAAATTAAGAAATTACAGCCCTGTATACAGAAAGTATGGTAGTGGTATTCAGAGAGAACTCAACAATGGAAGACTTCATAATGAAACTTCTTTATGGAAAAATAGTTTTTATGAATTCAGAAAGTATTAAAATGATTGGAATCATGCATTTGGAAAGAATTTTACCATAGACATGGGCAGGCTTTTGCTTGACTGTGTCTTAATAAATCTTGACTTTTGCAGGCGGTTAAAGCTCTGAAAGAGGAAGGTATCCAGACAGTGCTGGTGAATCCCAACATTGCAACAGTACAGACATCCAAGGGGCTAGCAGACAAAGTTTATTTTCTTCCCATCACAGCTGACTATGTCACTCAGGTAACAAAATAACATTTCAGGTTTCAGTGTTACTGCACAACAGTTTTGTTGCTGTTGTGAGTTTTTGTTAGGAGTGCTGCACTTTACCTTCTCATCCTGTTGAAAAAATAATTTCGGTTGTGGGCTATAGCAAATTCTTTTTTGTTCTCAAACTTCTCATAGGAAAACAATATTACTTGAAAATGTAAATTTATTGATCTTTATTTCCGAATATAGGTCATTCAAAGTGAACATCCTGATGGAATATTGTTGTCATTTGGGGGTCAAACAGCCCTGAACTGTGGCATTGAGCTACAAGCAAGTGGTATCCTTGAGAAGTATGGTGTCCATACTCTGGGAACGCCAGTCAGCTCCATAGTTTGCACTGAGGATAGGAAGTTATTTGCTGAGAAACTTGCTGAGATTGGGGAGCGTGTTGCACCCAGTGAAGCTGTGTATTCTGTTGAGCAGGTGTGTGTATTGCATGGGTAATTTTTTGATTGTCTAATAGTGTTTCCAGAAAAGCTGCTGCTTTGTTTACTGATATTTTGCCAATCTGATTAGTGGTCATCGTAAGGGTGAATTAAAGACATGTTTTGTTGAATGATAGTGTAAAGTGTTTAGGTGATGATTATTCTCTGTATTGTTATGTTACACAACTCATTAACAACTCTGTTCGAATGTCACTTTGTTAAGACACACTCATGTACTTAAAATGTAGCTAGTAATCCTTTTGTGTATGTATTTTGTTTTTCTGTGTATTGTTAAAGCTTCTTGATTGAAGGCGTTATTTTTAAAGTTTTCAAGAGAATTCCATGTGAAGAGTGTATCTTATCTTTACATAGGCTATTGCTGCTGCTGACAATCTTGGTTATCCTGTGTTGGTGCGAGCAGCATTTGCACTTGGTGGTCTTGGTTCAGGATTTGCTCAAGATAAGGAGGAGTTGATCTCTCTTGTCAATGGAGCATTCGCACACACCAAGCAAGTGAACCTTGACAAGTCATTGAAAGGCTGGAAAGAAATTGAGTATGAGGTTGTCAGGGATGCTTTTGACAATTGCATCACGGTTAGTACATGTATTAATTTTAAATCTGTTAGTGAGTACTGGTGATTTTACCAGCAATTATTGTGACATATATTTCAACCTATTAATTGAATTTTTAACATTGGATATTGCGTTTTGTTGCATTTTGATTGGTTCACTCAATCTTGGTTATTAGCTCATTTACCATGTGACCTTATATGAAAACTGATTGCACCAGATGCTAAGCTGAACAATTTGTGGGGAAAGTGAAAATTTGCGGGAAGCGAAATTTAATAAAACAATTATTCCATTGGAGCTTCTTGGATATGAGATTGGTTATAGCCAACTCATATCCAGTGTGCGCTCATGGAATAATTGTTAACTGTACACATGTATTTTTTCAAGTTGTCTTTCCCAACACAGACTTTTAACAAGTCAGGGATTCATCTACAAAACTCTTGGCACATCTATGTGAAACTACTGGCATGCCATGCAGTGATGTTATCCTGATCCTGCTCTATTCTTGTTGTATAGGTTTGTAACATGGAGAATGTAGATCCTCTGGGCATTCACACTGGAGAGTCTATTGTTGTGGCTCCTAGCCAAACCCTCACAAATTCCGAATATAACATGCTACGTACTGCAGCTGTCAAAGTCATCAGGCACCTTGGAGTTGTGGGAGAGTGTAATATACAGTATGCACTCAATCCAGACTCGATGGAGGTAAAGAATTAGACGTGTTTTCTTGTCATGCCCTGTTCTACCCAGGGCTGTCATTAAGGGCCATAACCCGTAACATCTGTTACAGCTGAGTATGCTTGATTTCCCTTTGAAGGTACATGTGAAATTTCCTGTCATTGATAGAATTCGAATAAGAAGCGATTTTTCTAAACATTTAACGATAAAAAATTGCAATAAAATACTTTTAAGCATATTGAGAAAGTTAAAAATTTTTGTTAAAAAATGACGACGTTTCGACGTTGAGCTAACGTCACTATCAAGTCAATGATAGTTGATAAATAATGTATAAATAGTCAGTAAAACAATAGTTCAATGGGTGTGTTAAAATGTTTAAAATTAAACAAAGAGTTTCGCATGGATGGAGTCAGTTTGCATGTTCAAGCTTGGATTCCATTCCTTTATGCAAAGCATCTCATAGAGGAGGCAATCAAATTTCCCTTGGCACTTTCGGGGAATTCAAAACTGGCTTTCGTTGAGGAGGCTTATGTCCCCGTGGGCTTCCAAAATGTGTTTTCCAATCGCTGAGCAGATCACATGAAAATAAATAAACCACGCATTGTTGATTTACGATCGGAGGCTTGATTTCTTTGGGCTTGAGATCTTGTTCCAGTTTCTTGCTAATAAATACTGGTTGTAGGGTAGTGCCAATCTTGTGGCTGAGATTGCGCATTTGCCTTCTAACCGCGTTAGCTGATGTTTGGTCCTTGAAGGGGAGACTAACTTGCAAGACACGGCTGTCTTCCACATGTCTTTCACGTACACCGGATGAAAGGTTGAGGATAAATTTGTTAATGGTGGAATTAATGGTCGTTATTGGATAATCAAGTTGAGTAAAGATGGAGCGAAGTCTAGTGCATTCTTGATTGAAAGCTTCAGTTGTAGAAGATAGGGCACATGCACGATGAATCATTGTTTTGAGCAAGCAATGTTTGTATCGTTTATCCGTGTGGCTTTGGAAATGCAACAGCAATCCAGTGTTAGTCGTTTTTCTGTACACTTGTGTTTCAATCTTTGTTCCGTTCTTGATTATTTCCATGCCGATAAACACATCCATTGAACTATTGTTTTACTGACTGTTGATAAATTTTTTTTTTTATCAACTATCATTTTGACTTGATAACGACGTTAGCTCAACGTTGAAACATCGTCGTTTTTTAACAAAATTTTTAACTTTCTCAATATGCATAGAAATATTTTATTGCAATTTTTTATAGTTAAATTGATAGAATTCAACCACAAAGTAACAAATTTGCTACAGGTGACTAAAATCTTCACGACAGCCCTGTACCAGTCTAAATTTGTCTGGTTGCATAGGAGTCACACCAAGTCTTTAATTGTTGAAAAAGTTTGGAAATCAGCAAAGTAGTTTTTCAGAGTTGTAAAAAGCATGAAAAGAAGTTAAGGAAAAGAAATGAAAGAAGTATAATTCTGGGAAATATATTAGACTTAGGAAAATTATGGAGTTTTTTCCAACCTTCAACACATGGTCAATAAGTGAAATATAAGTCATTCTGTATATTGAGAACCTTCTTGAAGTCCTTTTGATTTTTTCTTCCAGTATTTCATCATTGAGGTAAATGCACGGCTGTCACGAAGTTCAGCTCTTGCATCTAAAGCCACAGGATACCCACTGGCATATGTTGCTGCAAAGTTGGCTCTTGGCAAACCTTTGCCAGAGCTACGAAACTCGGTCACCAACTCTACGACAGCTTGTTTTGAACCTAGTCTGGATTACGTTGTTGTTAAGATTCCAAGATGGGACTTGAGTAAATTCACCAAAGTTAACACAAAGGTAGGTAGGAATCAAATATGACCCTATCAAACTGTTACTATTAGCACCCTTAATCGTACATGTACATGTATTGCTTTAGTCTGCAAGAGTGATCAATATTGAATTTAGGCTTATAACATTTGCACAATGTCAGGGCTGTCATTAACGGCCGTTAGCCATAACACCCGTTACGGTTGAGTACGCTTAATTTTTCCTTGATGCTATGGGTGAAATTCCCTGTTGTTTAGAGAATTCACCCACAAAGTAACAAATTTGCTATGGGTGTGGAGAATAAGGCTACAGATGACTAAACAATTAATGACAACCCTGAATGTGGACAGAACACAAGGAAACATTAGAAAATTGTGAATGGCTAAATGAGGGGGATAACCAGTGCAATGCTCTGACACCTGTCACATCTAGTTATCAGAGGAGAATTAAAACAAAAAGGACTACAGCTGTAATTATTGAAAGAAATGACGAAAATCAGTGAAAAGTGGGTTTTGCATGTTGATAGTGAAAGGGACCATGATTTTGTGTCTATTGTTCAATGAACCTGTAGATTGGAAGCTCAATGAAAAGTGTTGGAGAAGTGATGGCTATTGGACGGCGTTTTGAAGAGGCCTTGCAAAAAGCTCTTAGAATGGTGGATGAATCAAACTTGGGTTTTGATTCTCATGGGCACATTGCATCTGAAGAAGTAAGTTTCAGTAACCTGACTTTCAGGGAACAAAAAACAAAACTAAACATCATTGTCTTTTGGGTGCACTGGTGTTGTAACTTTTCTCTTGTGTTTATAACACTGTTCTGCTGTTGTGCTACATGAAACATGAATGCTGCAGCCCTTTTGGCCAATCAAAATAGGACTTGTTTAAATGTATCACTAGTGCTGTAACATAGAGTGAAGAAGGTCTTTTGGTTGTGTGTGGCTGTGAAATACAATGTCAGGCAGAAAAAATGTTTTTGAGATCCCTTTACAGCTCTATATTTTAGAATAATAGCTAAATTGGAACCCATTTCTTTTTAATAATTTTCATTTTGGTGTTTAGGTGTTTATGCAATCGGATGTCACTGCTATTATGTGTTTTTCCTACAGGAGTTAAAGCAGCCTTCTGATAATCGCATTCATGTGCTTGCGGCAGCCTACAAGGAGGGCTACAGCATAGAGAGGCTGTACGAGCTGACAAAGATTGACAAGTGGTTTTTAAGCCGCATGAAATGCATCATGGATTACGCACTGATGTTAAAAAGCTACAGAGAAAAGGCTGAGGTGGTAATGATGTTTTCAAATGTTAAACTGTCAGAGCAAAATAATTCTTGCTTAAATGTAGAAGGCACCATGTCTTTTTTTGCAAAATACTTTGGAACAGACACATTTCACAAACCAAAATATGAAAGATAAAAAACTCCCAGCAACAGCCAAATTTCCACCTTTTGTCAAAACAAAAGTAACTACTCGGTCTGGCTTGTACAGGTGTAAATACAAGGGTTTGCTGATGCAGCTCTTAAACCGTACTCTAAAACACTTGCACATGCATCATTAGCATGACTAGAAACCTGATATGGTAAGATGCTGGACCATGAGGAATGAGGGAACAAGATCTATGGCATTTGTTCCCTGGGTAATGCAGTGTTTTATTATTTTCGATCTTACCGAATTTTCTTTTTCCTCTGTGAGCTGTGTGTATAAGCAGAACATAATTAATAATATCCTGGCCTTTGAATTTAAATGAGCAGAACCTAGTGTGTATTATTGGACCCTGACATTATTTTGTTTATGTCCTGTTATTTTTTGAATTGCTTTTTCCTTTCTAGTTTTGTGATGATCCATTCTAAACCTTCATTTTCTTTTTAAGTGTGTGTCTGATTCACTGTCTAATGCACTGTCACGTTTCTTATTGGTGGTTTATGGTCTTTGTAGCTTGGCCAATCTGTGTCCTTATCTGCACCTCTAGTTCACAAAGAGAAGGTAGACAGCTTAAATATTTCCCTTGCACTAATCAGGATCAACATGCTAGTAATAGAAATTATATGCACTGTAATGTAGATAAGATGCCCACTTAGAGTTTTAAGTTATGATATTATGTATTGAGTAATGGACTATAAAGTTCTGTGGTGCACAAGTCAGCTGTTAGTTAATTTTGCTTTTACAAACATGATTTTGCACTGAATAAACCCTGCCAGTTAAAATCTTCAGAAATAATGTAATTGTAAGTTCTTACAGTCTGAGTGATGACTGCTTGTTTGAACAAACTTTAGTGCAACTTAAGACTCTATAAGGACAAATCTAACATCATGTTTGAAGAAGCTGTGGTTAAAATAGTAGTTGTCAAAAAAACACATATTTTGCCATAAACGTTTGAGTTCAATGTACTCCTTTACAGGCAGCTGAAGTGTCTTATGAGGATCTACTAGGAGCTAAACAACTTGGATTCTCTGATAAGCAAATTGCAAAATGTATTCGCAAGTAAGTTTTCCATTTGCACACATGCTACATTTCATTTATTTCACATAAATTGTTCATAACAAAGCTTTGAAATGTGATAGTTATGAAAGTAATTGTTAAGCAACAGGTGACAAGTATAAACAATTATTAGATGAGGTTTTTGTGATATCCAGAATAATCAAGGTCGAAGTAGGGGTCATCAGCTGAAGCCGAAGGCTGAGGCTGTTAACCCTTACCCAGACCTTGATTATTCTGGATGTCACAAAAACCAAATCTAATATTGAACGAAAAAAATGGAAGTCATGTTTTTCCTTCTTCACTGATGGCAAGCAACACAAAGTGCACAAACTTGACATGATTACCCGTGACCTTGAGTGTCCTTGACACGATTACTGTATAACCTGCAGAGATGACGTCACAAGCGCTGATTTCGAAAATTCACTGTACGCTTTCGGCCAATCAGAAAAGAGATAGTGAGTTCAATGTATAATAATAAGGGAAATCATAACAAGAGCTAAACATCATTCTTCTCAGTTCTGTCACTATCTGTCAGACTGGTAACCTCTGTAAACAAATAGTGTGTAGCATGTCAATCGCCCTCCCTCCCTCCCCCTCTTTCTTTTGACCATTCTCTACCCCAAGGGAGTATTGACATAAGATCTGCTGCAAAACATTACATCTGCACCAATAATTTCAAACAATGCCACATTTTCTGTAAAACAACACATTGTAATAAATTTTACAAACTGGTTTTGTCACTCTTTATAAAACATGCAATAATCTCTATACACTCCACTACTGAATTTCTTCTAACTCATTTTTAAACAGGACAGGAGCTTAACCTTCTGTCTTTATTTTCAGCACTGAAATTGCAGTACGTAAGGTTCGTCAGCATTATGGTCTCACCCCATTTGTAAAGCAGATCGACACAGTAGCAGCAGAGTACCCCGCCTTCACAAACTACTTGTACCTGACTTACAATGCATGCGAGAATGATATTGACTTTGAAGGTGGAGCTTGTATGGTGATTGGCTCTGGTGTGTATAGGATCGGTAGTAGTGTGGAATTTGATTGGTGTGCTGTTGGGTGCATCAGGGAACTAAGAAAGGTATATTGTAGTTTTAATAGCATTTGCTGTTGTGGCATTGTGAAAAATGTGCACTTTCAGGAAATAATATTACTGTACCCACTTCATGGAAGGTGACTGGGAATTCTTAGGGGAAGAAAGTTTAAGTGTGAAGAGTAAACAAGAATTTCTTAAGACTGGGAGCAAATTGTCAAACCAAAGCCTACCATGGGAGTGCTTTGAGTATTTTTGGAATAACAATAATAACTGAAATAAATATATCGTATTAGATGTTTTGGTGTGTAGTATCGCTGTATATTTTTACCAGTTGTGCCGTATTTTGACAAGCCTGTATGGCAAGTCAAAATGCAAACAACAAGTAAAAATATGTATGGGTTATTAACCAAGTGTGAGCTCAAGATGGCTGGATATTGGCCAAGTTCTTTTTTTGTGTGTTTATGGACCGAGACGGAGTCGAGGTCCAAAAACATGCAAAAAAAGAACAAGGCCAATATCCAGCCATCTTGACCAAACAAGCTTGGTCAATAAAGGACTTATTATATGGCTTTCGGGGAAATTTTTCTTGCGGGACACAACGGGAAAGTCCAGAGCGGGCAAGATAGCTCCATCTTGCCCACTTGGGTAGCCAATCACAGCACAGGATTTGATTCATCTTGCCCGCTCACGGAGCTGGCCATATAATAAACAGCGATACTGCACACCAAAACGTCTAATAAGAGATTTATTATTCAACTTCTGTGGTAAATAAATGTATCAATGAAAGAGGGAGAGTGTGACAAACAGCTCTGTGTACAAATACAGACCTGTGTGGCAAACAGCTCTACTGTACAAATATGGCAAACAGGTTTTCTACTGTACAATATCGCTATATATTTGTACTGTTATTTGGATGGTACTCGTTGCAGTTGGATAATAATGAGAGTTAAATCATGATCAAAAGTACACCTTGGTCCAGTTACAGTGTTTCATTTTTTTTTTTTTTTTTTTTAATATTTACACACACATAATATTTTTCCAGTGTATGTTACCTTGGAGTAAAGCCCTCTTTACCAACTGCATTCATTTGCTAAATGGAGGTTGGGTGCCTGAGACATCCAGGAGCTTCCACTATTGGCAGCCTGCTTGTAGATGAAGACTGCTCCCATGGCTGACAAAGCCTGGAAACCGAGCCATGAGCCCCCACACGGAAGGGGAGCCAGGCGCCCGTCACACCGAATTAGCAGTGGAAAGAGGGAGGGAAGGGAGGGGAAACGCTTGAAGAAGTGCTCCCATGCAAAACAATGCTTACCATTGACGTTATCACTGTGAAAGCTGCCAACACATCTCAGTCCAAGAGCACATGGAAACCTGGTGCAAATACATGTACATATCACAAACGCCGCTTACTACCATGGGAATGCAGGCACTCTTTGTTAGTAACTCCGTTAAATTGCTTTTAGCTGCACTTAATCCACATGGTGATTTTAGGCACCTATTGATTTGCCTTTAGTTTTAAAGGAAGCATTTATTGATGAAAATCTTTCTCAATTTTCAGTTAAAAAAGAAAACAATTATGGTGAACTACAACCCAGAGACTGTTAGTACAGATTATGATGAGTGCGAGAGACTGTACTTTGATGAAGTGTCATTTGAGGCAGGTGTAGCAAGGGTGTTGAATTCCCCAGCTATTGCTCTGTAATTCTGTAATTCTCTGTAATTAGTGTCCCCATTTAGTGGTTATTTACTGCTATTTTAGTTTGACACTTAAATAAAGGTATTCTTCTTCTTCTTCTTCTTGTGTCAAGTCTTACCTAAAACTGAGCATGTCTACAACATGTCTGTCATTATTGAATTTACTGCTATAGTGAGTTTTAAAGCTGATGTTTTAAGCTATAGTTTCTCATGATAGGCATGCAGCTCTGATGAAGGGCTAATTCTTGAAATGTCAGCTTTGCAAGCTCTCCTTGGTAGTTAAATTACCATTGCCAACTTCAAGTTGATATACAGCAAAGTGTACTACGGTCCTTAGCTATTTTTACAACAAATGACTGCATACTGTATTCAACAAATTGACAGTAACTATTTACACCTTGGATCATGTGTACTAAAGGCATCCACAGTTAAGTGTTGATCGATACCCTTAATTGATACCTTGGATCAACATCTCGGTTGCCACTCAATCGACACTTGATCAACAGTTGGTCGATAGTCAGCCGAGTGTTGACCGACTTGTTTGCATCCATTGAAAATTAGTTGACTGTTGACCAAGTTGTCAATCGAGTGTCAACCAAGGTGTCGGCAGAGTGTTGATTGACTACCGATCAAGATGTCGATCAAGAGTATTGATTGAGGGTATTGATCAATACTTGACTGTGGATGCCTTTAGCACACATGATCTTACACCTTTACTCACACATACATATAACCTGAGTGGATAGAGGCACTGAGAAAGTAAAATATTGATGTGTCGCTAAAAACACAACTTACACTTTAATATCTCAGCCAGGTCTGTAATTTGTAACACTCTAACCAACATACTGATCATCATTAATAATAAGCCAACACAAGAAAGGAACCATTTTATGCAGTTTAAGTTAGACTTTTATGCATATAATGTTAGGTTGTCATGGATGTGTATGAGAAGGAGAATCCAGAAGGTATCATCCTGAGCATGGGAGGACAGTTACCAAACAACATAGCCATGCAGCTTCACAGGCAACAGGTTTGTGTCAGTCAATCAGTCAGTCGGTAAGTCCATCAGTTGGTTAATCCATCAGTCTGTTGGTCTGTTGGTCCATCAGTCTGTCAGCCCATCAGTCTGTCAGTCCATCGGTCTGTCAGCCCATTGGTCTGTCGGTCCATGGGTCAGTCAAAAAAACTTCTTAATAGAGTACCCATGTTGTTTTCTGTTTGGCAGGGCAAAAAAAGTAAACACACTTTAAAAACTAAGCTCTGTCTTTGTTGGTTAGGTTCGCATTCTTGGCACATCTCCTGAGATGATAGACAATGCAGAGAACAGATATAAATTCTCCAGAATGTTGGACAATGTTGGAATTTTACAGCCACAGTGGAAGGTTCTCACAACTCTGGAGGTGGGTAAGACAGAGGCCCTGCCCAGTCTTATAATCTTCTGTATGTGCCCTTCTTATTCCAAGTCTATATCTATATCTATATATTATAATTCACAAGGGTTTCCCATCACTGTGGATATTAACTAACTACTTAACAATTAAACATCTAAATATAAAATACGATCAGACTAAGACAAGTTAAAGGAGCTCAATCATGGCATTTTGAGTTATTTTGGTTGTGTACAAAATTACCTCTAAATTGAAGAAAACCTGAAAATAGTAGTTTACTAAGATAGAAAAACACCAAAGAGAAAATAAGAAACCATAAAAGAATAAGGATGGCTTCAGATGGAGAAGATTACCACGGATTTACAAACGAGGAACTTGAAAAGTTGTGCAAATTGTGATGTAGCTCCTTTAAACATTTACAGTTAATCACTTGGCCGTTTTCTTTTTCTTTTTTTGCAAAATGCTTGTATAAATTTCAGATTGCAACAGGTGATACAGCTATATTGTGCTAGCACATTGTATTTTAAATAGTTAATTTTGATTTTACTGTAACACCTTGCTTCTTAATTTATACCTTTGTAGGATGCAAAGAAGTTTTGTGCCACTGTAGGTTACCCTTGCCTGGTGCGACCATCCTATGTGCTCAGCGGTGCTGCTATGAATGTTGCTAATTCTGATAATGACCTTGCCATGTATCTGGGAAATGCTATGTCGGTATCAAGTGATCACCCAGTTGTCATCTCAAAATTTATTCAGGATGCTAAGGTGGGATGTGCTGGTTTAAAGTGTGTATTAAAAAAATGTCATACAGCTTTGCAAGAATCTTACGTGAAAGCTACATGTATGCCTGTTAATTTGGTAGGGTTTTACAACAGTAATATTATTATACTTTTACATGTATTTTCACACATAACCAAGACAGCTGACTTAATGTATTTGACTGAAATAGATTTTTCAGCTGACACTTTAGTGGGAGTTTTTCACTTACAGCGCGATTTTTCAAAGCACCCAGCCTAACCAACTTGGCATGGATGTCCACAACCACAAACTATGATTGTCATGCCTATTACCTAAGTAACACATTTTTTTACCCTCCCTTTTTTTCAGGAAATAGATGTGGATGCAGTAGCGTGTGATGGTGAGGTGGTTGTCATGGCAGTCTCTGAACATGTGGAGAATGCTGGTGTACATTCTGGTGACGCCACCATGGTCCTTCCTCCACAAGATCTGAACGAGGAGACGCTCAAGAAAATACGCAAGATTTGTTTTGACATTGGGCAGGCCTTAATGGTTACTGGCCCTTTTAACATGCAGCTGATTGCTAAGGTAAGGGGTCAAGGTAAAGTCTTTGCTCAAGCGTACTGGCGCGTGAGGCCGGCTCTTGTCTCCAATCCTGGCATAATATGAGGCGGTCAAGAGTATTTCTACCCCCACCTGGATAGAATGCTACTCCACTGCAGGGTGCCT